CATGAATAAAAAAGCAGAAAAAATAGAATACGATTGATTTACTTACTGTTCAATACAGTTTTCAGAGGTTGTTAAATCAACAATGTTGGCACTTTGTTGTGATGCTAGTAGGCACACCGTGAATACATTGTGTAAATAATCTTCAATTCAATTTAGTAGAAAATAAAGATTCTTTGTATGGCCATTTTTACGCTTCCTTTTTTCTGTGCGTATGTAACCTTAATGTTTCTGTAGCTTTATGGAGATCTTTTTTTTTTTTAAAGGATTTGATTATATCTTATAATATAACGTGAGTTGCACACATTGTCCTTCCATAAGTCCTAAAAGTGCATGCTGTACACATTTATTGTGTTTCGCCAGTAAAATTAAGACCTCTACCCTATTGCAACTTAATTTAATAAATGCTTCACTTATTTATACACCCACACTAACATACGTATTACTCATCATATAATCTTTTCCGATCGTATAAGTTGTGTAGTGACTCATGTTGTCATTGTACAGTGATACAGCTGAATACAACCCTGTTAAATGAAATTGATTGTTTTGGGGTTTGTGACATTATCTTTTATTAATACAGTATATTCTCTTTACCAAATGAAGCTCTAAGTTCAGACAAGGCCACTAAACCCATGTAGGCGTAAGCCTGGGGCTTATTTCTCATACCTCACTACAACCACATAATGCGACAGGAGACGCACGTTAGTAACGTTGTCCGTTTGTTGTAACAGTGCTGAGTCACGTAGACCAGTGGTCCCCAACCTTTTTTACCTCACGGACCGTTGTCATGTCAGACAATATTTCGCGGACCGGTCGAGAAGGTCCGACGGGGGGGAGGAGGCGGTGTAGTACTCGCGCGCTCTGTGTTCGCTGGTGGGCGAAACTGCCGTGCACGGTAAGGGGACAATTATGAACGTAAAGAAAAACGCGTGGTGACGCGTGGGAAATCTGTCAGAGGGACGAGCGCACATAATTAGGAGAAAATCCGGTCAATTTTCAAAATAAAACATTTTTTAGAAAAAAAAAATATATATAAACGTTCTGTGGTGCGGCCCGGTACCAAACGGCCCACGGACCGGTACCGGTCCACGGCCCGGTGGTTGGGGACCACTGATGTAGACGACATAAAACAACCACGTTCAAAGTATTACTTTATTAACAAGGTTGCAAGATGAATATGTTTTGCTAATGGTTACTTGATCCCATCCATGGGCCCAATCCCTTCCTGCTCAGCAGAACAAAGCAGAACGAGTGTGACGTTTGCACCCGGAGGTTGCCTGAATTCAAACTTTGATGGGAAAATATCCTCGTCATTCTCCGAGTGACGCAAACCATCTCCTTTCAAGGGAACTTTGTAAGAGGACGTAGCATTTTAGCATAAACCATAAATACATGGTTAAAATTGTTGAATAATTTGTGTGTATTTGCTTGTGACCCTGTGTGATGGTATAACCTCATCTGTACTTCATTTTGACCTATTTCATGTCATTCACTGATCATCTTCATTGTAAAGGTTTATTTAATATTCTAACTTTTAGATGTCAAAAAATGTCCCTTTAGGAGGCATTCAATATTGTTATAAGACACATTGCAGGGTCAACAGGAGACCATTTGCATAAAACCTCGCCTGACTTACACATGTTTGTGTTATTATGTGTTTTGATTGACTTACTATTCATAATTTTGCTGGCAACCGTATTATAAAAGCAATAAGGTACACGAGGCAGTGCTTTATCTTCAATAATATAAAAGTTCGACACAACAACACCCCTGAACTGTTACATTATTGGACGATAAAGTACAGCCTCTCGTACCTTATTACTTAAATATACCACAGGTGATGGCACTTATTTTAATGTGTAGTGTTGTGGATTAATTTATTTATTATAAAGTATTCTCTAACTCACTGACTATATCTGACTCGAGATGAGGACACACACATCCTCACAGACCAGGGACTTTCAGTAACACACACCCATAGAACACACTGGAGATCTGGATGAAGTAAATTCACAGAGATTTATTGGAGCACCAACACTCGAATAAACCAAGCTCTTTCCGGAAAGACACTTAACGAGGTGATGATACAACACATTAATTTATACATTTCTTTGACCGTTGGATTGAGTGAAGCCCTCCCCTTCAATCCTAACTACGTAACTCTCCTCCTATTATTGTAAGTTTCCAATTTGCAAATGGTTCTAATAGTTGGGGACAACATGATTTTTTAGTTTTCACAAATGTGCAAAATATTGATCACGGCAGAAAATAAGGCTGCAAAATGATATGTAAGAAAAGGTGTCTATGGCCTGAAGGTTTGTCTGTTTACAAAGTAAAGTAGAAAGGATTCAACAACGAGACAGCAAAACATTAATGAAAGTCCTGTTTTGAGGGTAGATTCATTTTTTTGATTGCATTACATTGGGTGTTTATGTCCATCTTATATGTTTGTTTCATATTGAATAACTCTTTTTAATCTTCTTCTATTCCCACCGCATGGGATACAAAAGTGTCCTGGTAATACTTGCTTCCAATTCTCCTCTTTTCTTTCCCCACTTTCTCTTGCGTATGTTCAAGTACAGGTACCTACCATTCACAAATACAGAGCCACCTTTTTTTTTTCTTTCTTCTTCTTGAGAACCCAATCCTCATTTTAGGATTGGTCTGCTATTGTTCAGTAGTACGTGATTCTCAGCGCTGCCTTTTTCCCTTTTAAACACTAAGTTCCCTTCGAAACTTTATCAGTGATGATATGTTGTGGCAAACCGGGGGACGTGGAGGCAAGATTCCAGGCATAGGTAGACAGACCTACTAGTCACATAACATAAATTATCCTTTTAATTAGGGGAAGGGGGCTAGGGTCAAAAACAACAAAAGATTCCTCCCGGTCGGGGTCTCAGGTCCTTAACAACTTGTCCCGGGGGAAAAAAAGAGGAGAGGCATGAAAGGGCAATAATGCTTCCCAGTTGTCTCCCATGATCACGGTGTCTCTTTCAGTCTGTGTTCAGTCACCCTCTATATCCCTGTCACCTCTTGATTGGGTTGATGGGCTGCAGGTGTGCTGTTACGCCCCAGTCTAGGGGTGCCTAGGGTGCAACATGGATAGGCCCAATCTTCCCCGTCTCCCAAGTAGCCACAAACACTTTGCGTTAAATAGTGGATATATTTATTGAACAAAAGAGCTTGGTTGAGTAAACCATGTATGTTGGGGTAGAAAAAAGCACGGCTTCGCCGTTGCCCATCCCCAATATAATTTTATTTATTTATTTAATTTAATAAGACGCCATCTTGGCTTCCCTTATATGCAGGCACTGCAGCCAATCACAGGACGGGTAGGAGACCGTCCACCAATCCGCGCATGGTTGTGGCACATCCCTGTTTGCATGACAGAAAGGGAAAACCAGAAAGACACAAAAGGAAAACAAAAACACTTTACACATATGACCCCAGTCATAACAGTGCCCAATGCCAGTCGCCAACCATTTGCAGCCCATGCACTGGGTAATACACCTCCTCTATCACCTCCCCCAACCTGATGCACCGTCTTGGCTTGGCCCTTCCTCCTGGTTTGCCACAACGTACAGCCCCATGTCGTCATTCCGTCGAGGTGGTGCCCAGTAAATAATGTGGCCTTCATTGATCACTGGAAGACGTTTTGGGGTGGGCCTGGTCTGACTAGGAGGGACGGCATCCATCCCCCTTTGGATGGAGCTGAACTCAGTTCTAAGAATTTGAACCAGTTTCTTAGTGGACTTAATCCATGAACCAGAGTTCAGACCAGGAATCAGAGTCGCAGTCTTACACACTTCTCTGCACTTCCATCCCAGCAGTCACCTACCCAAACCATAATATACCCTATAGGGGCCGAGTCTGCCCCACGGCCACAGTTACTTAAATCAAAGGTAAACAACCAAGGAGTTATATTAAACAACTTAATCAAAGTTAAAACCAATAATGGAACAGTAAAACAAAATAGAAGAATTAAAGGGGGACTTTTAAATATTAGATCTCTGTCATCTAAAGCTGTGTTAGCAAATGAACTATATCACTATACACTGTCAGATCACCTAATTGATTGGGGAATATGTCAGCTTAAATGAAGTGACTCCCTCAAGTCATGATAATACTGATAATATGATCTTGGGATAATAAAACTTTTTTTAAAAGGGGTTAGGGTTACAGCTTCGTCGAGTCGTGTATTCCTTTGGACCTCGCTAGTAACGACTTAATGAACTGCTTCAATGAGAATATTCTGACTATCAAAGAGGAAGTTGATGTTTCCTGCCTTCAGCCAGTGCCGACCCGCCCTCGTCCTCTAAATCTTCTACGGCCAGCCCTTATAAGCTGCTATAGGCCTCGACTGTCGGGGGACTTCTTAGGACATACCAAGCTCCTCTATCACTCTCACTCTATTATATATATTATATGCTGTATTCCCAGTTCCATTACTGTAAACATCCATGTGCATTACTAACTTTGTTTCTTCCACGGAGTATTTGTGCTTTCCCTCCTCACAGGCTTCTGTGGATGGTGGTGATATCTGATGGTGTGTTCCCTGCAGTGGTTCTTTCACATACCTTACTACTTACAATATTTGAATCGTTTCTGTCATAAGAATTAAGTGTATTTTACACCTTTTGCATTGTTCATTCTGTACACATAACATCCATTGCAGTCTGTCCATCCGGGGGAGGGATCCCTCCTCTGACGTTCTCTGTTTCTTCCTGTTTTTCCCCAGTGAAGGGTTTTCAAGTTTTTGGTGCCTTTTTCCTGTCCTGATGTGAGGGTTTCGGGACAGAGGATCTGACATGTGTACGGACTGTAAAGCCCTCTGAGGCAAATTTGTAATTTGCAATTTTGGGCTATACAAAATAAAATTTGAATGTTTGAATGCACTGTACCACAGATATCTCAGATGATTTTTGCATACTGATTTGTGTATTCTTCTTCATTTGGTACTTCTGATATGCTCTCATATTTCATGTTTCACATCAGAATGGTTAACGGTAGCTTCACCAGCACAATGAAACGCTTCTTTCTTTCTTTGCTTCTCCTGGAGTCTTTTCTACATGAATCGGCTCAATGCACCGTCCAAGGCTCAGAGTTTCACCTGGAAGGAGATTATTTGTTGGCTGGACTTTTCAACATTCACCATGATAGTTCTCCTGTTGTACAAGACCGACCAGAAGCCGTCAACTGCTCCAGGTGAGTCTTACAAAGTCTTAATGAAAATCTTCTGCGGTTGAAAATAATAAAAGCCTGATGTTAATAGAGATCAAACCTTTCCTTAAGCTTCAGGTCAGGGGATACAGCTCGTAACATTTACAGGTTTAATGAGCCATTTGCAGTTTCACTGTACAGTCAGGGTGTACTCAGACGTTTATGGCTTTAAGATCAGGGATCTAATCACCCCTCCAGGTTGTGACAATCGTAATGTGAGACTGATTCCCACATTCTCTTACTTTCCTTCCTCTTATCTGCAGTAAACCCTTCCTTCTTTCAAGTTATCGGAGGTTTCAGTTGATGAGATTCTCTGTAGAGGAAATCAATAACTCCACCGACCTCCTGCCAAATGTGTCTCTTGGATATGAGATATTTGACCACTGCTCAGATATACACAGTTTTCCAGGCATCTTGAAACTTCTCTCAGTTGATGGCTTGATCCAACCTTGGGCTGAACCACCCAAGAATCTGTCCAAAGTCATGGCTGTGGTCGGCACTTATACGAGCACTCAGGCACTGACTGTCGCCCCGCTGTTCATGATGGATCTCATTCCGATGGTAAATCATCCAAATACATTCAGTGATACCAACATGTTATTATACATTTAACAAAATGCAAACAGCTTCTCAATGTATCACTAAATTAATCACTATTTATTACTCTTAAAGTATATATACTAGAATCTATGAATTGTAAAGTGAGTTTTAATGTTACATTTGAGAATTTTTCACTGTACATTATTATTTTTTGACAGGTCAGTTACGCAGCTTCAAGTTCGGTATTTTCAAGAAAACAGAATTTCCCCTCTTTCCTACGAACAGTTCATCCCAATAAAGACGTTATAGAAGTGATTGTTAATATCATGCAACACTTCAACTGGAGCTGGGTCGCATTTCTTCACATTGATGATGATTATGGAAACGATGGCCGGGAATTGTTCATAAAGAAAATTGATGGCACTGAGATTTGCCTGGGATACACCAAAGGCCTTGATCAACATACTAATTATTCCCAAGTATTCAGACAGATAGAGGCACATCAAATAACTACTATTATTGTTTTTGCTCCTGAATGGACTGCTGAAGCTCTCATTAAATCAGCAATACAACAGAACGTCACCAACAAGGTGTGGATAGCAGGAGATGCATGGTCCTTAAACAAGGAGCTCCCCAAAGAGAAAGGAATACATAATATTGGGACGATACTTGGGGTCTCTGAACCAAAAGTTACAATACCTGGTTTCAGTGATTTTATCCATCATTCCAAAGGCCAGACTCACTGTGAAAATACAGAAAAAAGTATGTTTTGCAATCAGGTTTGCAACTGCAGCAGCCTGAAACCAGACGAAATCCTCAATGTGGATCCATCCTATAATTTTCCTGTTTATGCTGCTGTACATGCCATCGCCCATGCCTTACACAATACCTTGCAATGTGACTCAGGCAGATGTAACAGGAGTATTACAGCGTACCCATACATGGTGAGTATAAACATAATATGATCAATTAGTCTTTTACTCTGTTTGATGTAAACGTATCTTACTCATTTCTTTTGAATCATCACCGAATCCAAAGTATTATAAACAAAATGTTCTCTGAACTTGTGTGTCCACATCAGGTTCTAGCAGAGCTGAAGAAGTCAAACTTTACCGTTTTAAATCAAAGTGTCACTTTTGATGAGAATGGTGATCCCAACTATGGATCCTATTCTATAGTTTTCTGGAACCAAAGCGGTGACGCACAGGAGATTGGGTTTCATAACTTTTACCCAAACTTGTATTTCTTCATCGACAACAGCAAAATTCAGTGGAAGACAAAGGAAGTAAGTTGATTTTCTCCTCAAAAATTCTTTATACTGTTTTTTTTTCTAGCTTCTGCAGGGATGTGTGTGTGTGGATGAGTGTGCATGTGCACATTTATTTAGTAATAATGCTGAACATTAACCAACATTGGTTGGTGCATGGAGTCGTTTGCAGGGGCATCCAGATGTTGTGTTTAATGTTGATCGCATGTGACAAACCCTGTTAAGAATTTAAATGCATCATGGGCCAACACTGTACTTTGCCTGCACTCCTTGCTGTGTAACATTGCACTCGTCCTCACTCGGGTTGTAAAGAATTGTCTTGTACAGGTGCCTACTTCACGATGTTCCCAAGAATGTGATGAAGGATCCAAAAAAATGCCAGATGGAATCCACAGATGCTGTTTCAAATGTGAAATCTGTCCAAAGGGCACTTATTTCAACAAAACAGGTAAATTACTTTCAGAATTTTAAACTTGTTTATGGCTGACTGTGATTCCCAATTGGAAGCAAGACAGAAGCAACATGTGAGCAACGTGTCATTCAATCCACGCTTACTCCATCTTTCCACCTGGGAAGTTGAGTGCACAGCTGCTGCCAACTTACCTTTCTGAGAATAGGGTGTATCTGCAGACTCTGAGCAGGTGCTAACTGTCAAATACATATTTAAATAGCCAAAACACAATTTCATCATCAGGCCACCTGAACTACAACCATTTTTAATTTACTAAATTACGTTACAGAAACTCAAAGTTTACATACATCGTTCTAGTTCTACGGTTTAGTACAATACAGACTTCTGTTTTTTAGATGCAACTTTTTTTGCTTAATTTTAATCAATCCAAGAGGTTGGTATGAAACAGCAGGTTAAAAACAAATATTCTATTTATTGGGCTTCCTTAAGCCACAGAGGATTGTTTCAAATGGACTCAACCTTGATTTTGTAAATCTGTCCTTCTCTGGTGTTGAACAGAAGATCCCTACGAGTGCATCAACTGTAAGGAAACAGAATGGTCTGCAGCAGGAAGCACATCATGTAATCTGCGGGAGTTGGAGTTCGTCCCATTCACAGACATTGGTGCCATGCTGATCATGGTGGGAGCCTGGGCCTTGGTGGTCCTCACAGTAGCCATGTCCGTTCTCTTTGCCATCAACTACAACACACCTGTCGTCAGATCTGCAGGGGGGCCGATGTGCTTCCTCATTTTTGGCTGCCTGTGTCTGTCTAATGTCAGTGTGTTCTTTTACTTTGGTAAGCCCACTGCTTCCTCTTGTGTGATGAGGCTCTTACCATTTCTCTTGTTTTACACCGTTTGTCTAGCATGTTTTGTGGTGCGATCTTTTCAAATTGTTTTCATTTTCAAAATAGCTGCCAAGTTCCCAAAGCTCCACAGTGTGTGGATAAAGTATCATGGACAGTGGCTGTTCATCACGCTGACATTTGTTACTCAGGCACTCTTTCTTCTTTTTGGCAACATGTTTGCACCTGCAAAGCCCCACAATGAAACCTCTTGGTACCCAGACAAAACCATCCTTATTTGTGGGATGAGTAACGAAGCATACGTTGGTCCTATGGTTTTACTTGTGTCTCTATGCTTCCTTTGCTTTATTTTCTCATACATGGGCAAAGATCTTCCTAAAAATTACAATGAAGCCAAATCAATAACCTTTTGCCTGCTCCTGCTGATCCTCACATGGATCATCTTTGCCACTGTGTTCTCACTTCACAGGAGCAAAGACATCCAGACACTTAACGCCGTGGCAATACTCTCAAGTCTCTACTCCTTTCTGTTGTGGTATTTCATGCCAAAATGCTACATCATCATTTTCCAATCCCACAGAAACACGCAAGAGTATTTCCAAGGTCTCATTCAGAATTATACCACCAGAAAGTAGCAGATACCAGTAAATCTCTCTCTGGTTCATAGAGGACAAGAAATCTGGTTCAGGAGTCTTATTTAAATGAAATTCTATTTTTTTGTAGAAATGCACATAGTTCTTTAAACACATCCCACTTTTGTTGTAGTGTATTAGATTAATTGTTTATTCAGTGTTTTTTGATCTGGGGTTCAGGAATCACAAATTACCATCCGTTTTAGGAATTTTCAAACATAAAGGCCAGTACCAGAAAAAGCTAACGTTAGGCAATAAGCAAACAGTACCATGGGCGCACAACTTCGTGTGATTGTGTGTTACTCATACTGTTAATTCTGTAAAGCCATGATAAGAATGTTTGATTTATTTTCTGTTCAATACAGTATTCAACAAGCAACAATGTTGCCACTTTACTGTGATGCTAATAAGCCGGACTACAGGCACACCATGAATACACAGTGTAAATCAGGGGTCTCAAACTCTGCGGTTTCCAGTGCGGCCCGCGGCCGCAACCGTACGTACCGAACCGTACCGTTCGCTGGTCGGACCATCAGCGGCGCCAGTCCCCCTGTCGACCGTACCGTCAGCGAAGTCGGCACCCCCCGCCCTGACAGCCGTAATGGTCTGGCCAGTGTTCGGTCAAAGTTGGCTGCATTTGGCCCGAACTTGAAGGCGAGTTTGAGACCCTTAGTCTAAATCAAAAAAAAAATCCTACCGAGATACATATAAGGGTGCATAATGTTTTTTTGTCAATTTAGTAAAAAATAAAGATTCTTTGTATGGCTATCTTTATGCTCTCATTTTTTAAATTAATGTTTCTGTAGCTTTATGGAAACATGTATTCATCTATTTTTGAACAAAAGCATGTGATTATATCTTAATTTAACGTGAGTTGCACGCTTTAATAAGGAAAAAATGATAATCTACGCTCAGCCTTCGATCAAGTGATAAGAATTGATGGTCAGTGCGCCCTGACCCAGCGCAGTCACATCCACACTTCTCATTGATAAGGGACAGACTGTATAGAATGAGTCTCAGACGGGGGTGCTGGACCTAATTAAAAATAACTGGGAGGAAGGTCAGAGCTCCTGCAAAAACGAGGTCCAGTACGTCCTGGACCTGAGAGCAAAGCTCCACACACTGGGTAGGATGTCACGTGAGAAGTTGCTCCAGGCCGAGGGCCGTCATAAATTACGACAGATGAGCCAGGCTGCGGCAATTCACACGGGGAGAAAAGGTACTTGCTCCCTTCATCCAGCTCTAAACTCCTCGCCAAGTTACAAGGGCCCTTTGTGGTCACACAGCGGGAGGGGGATGTCACCTATGAGGGGCGGAGCTACACAGACATACCACCTCAACCTCTTAAAAGCATAGAGGGAGGCTGAGCTGGGGCCTGAGGTCCCAAAATCGACTAATCCAGGCTTGCTCCTTCATTAAGACCATCTCTCCGGGACCCAGAGAGCAGACATTGGCCCAGCAATTTACTGGCGTGTTCTCCCTTCTGCCGGGTCGCACCAAAATTGACCACGAAAAAAAGGGGATGACAAGCAGCAGTGGCGATGCACGGGGCAATAAAGTCTATGATAAATAAATAAACAAATCAACGACTTCCACACACAAAGACGTCACTCTCTTGGTCGTCTTCGACTAAAAATGTTATTCCACACAATTTGTGGAAAATAAATATTAGAGCCAAGAGCAACAAGTGTGCGTGTAGTAACTACTGTTGCTAATGCATTCCGTTAGACCAGGATTATTTATTTACAATAATTAGTGAACTTTTCTCCTAATGTTACCCTGGTTACCCTGAGCTTTAGTCTCAGGTCCAGGACGTACTGGATCTCGTTTTTGCAGGAGCTCTGACCTTCCTCCCAGTTATCTTTAATTAGGTCCAGCACCCCCCGCGGTGTCCTGCCAAACAACACGCCTGGGGAACCTCCCTCCCGAAACCTCCATTAACGGCAGAACGGTGGATATGACTGCGCTGCGCCAGGGCGCACCAGCTGGCCATCAATTCTTATCACTTGATCGAAGGCTGAGCGTAGATTATCATTTTTTTCTTATTAAAGCGTGCAACTCACCTTAAATTAAGATATAATCACATGCTTTTTTTCAAAAATAGATGAATACATGTTTCCATAAAGCTACAGAAACATTAATGAAAAAATGGTAGCATAAAAATAGCCATACAAAGAATCTTTATTTTTCACTTTTACATTATGCACCTTTATATGTATCTCAGTAGAAAAATGATTTACACCAGAGGTTTCAAACTCATGGTTCAGGCCAAATGCAGCCCACTTTGACCGAACGCGGGCCAGACCATTACGGCTTACGGGGGGGGGCGGGGGGGGTGCCGGCGGCGCTGACGGTACGGTCGACAGGGGGGGGTGCGGCTACTAACCAGCATCTAGTAGGCTTGTTGAAAACTGTATTGAACAGACAATGAATCAAACATATTCTAATTTGTTTTTCTTTTCTATTCATGTTACTTTTATATACAAGTTCTTAGCATGGCTTTACAGAATTAACTTTACATGGAGAACAGTATGAGTAACACACAAAGGCACGTAAGTAGAATAGTGAGTCTTTATTTTTGATTAAGTGGTTTCTAATCTCATTGCGCCATTCATTTTATTCATGTGAAGTTGTGCGCCCATGGTACTGTTTGCTTATTGCCTAACGTTAGCTTTTTCTGGTACTGGCCTTTATGTTTGAAAATTCCTAAAACGGATGGTAATTTGTGAATGTGTGAAGAAAATCATCATGACGTTTTGTTTATTTCAGTTTTCTTTCTGGATCCTATCACAGGATCCTATCTTCTGGGTTGGCCATCAAATATACCTGCTCCATGCAGCTTTATACTGCTAGTATGTTATACAGTTGCATTTAGCTCAAGGAACTGCTTTACCTATAAGTCTATACTACGCCACAAAGACCCTGGCATGACTCTAGATTCTTACACAACAGGAGTCTATGGTGTATAGTTCATTTCAAGATTCCTGAACCCCTGAGAAAAAAACACCAAATAAACAATCAACCTACAGTGCGGGCCAAAAAGGGATGTATTTAAACAACTGTGTGCATTTCTACAAAACAAATTTAATAAAAATTTTAATTTAATAAATTAAAAATAAGACTCCTGAACCAGATTTCTTTTCCTCTATAAACCAGACACACATTTACTGGTAGCTGCTACTTTCTGGTGGTATAATTCTGAATGAGACCTTGGAAATACTCTTGCGTGTTTCTGTGGGATTGGAAAATGATGATGTAGCATTTTGGCATGAAATACCACAACAGAAAGGAGTAGAGACTTGAGAGTATTGCCAGGGCGTTAAGTGTCTGGATGTCTTTGCTCCTGTAAAGTAAGAACACAGTGGCAAAGATGATCCATGTGAGGATCAGCAGGAGCAGGCAAAAGGTTATTGCTTTGGCTTCATTGTAATTTTTAGGAAGATCTTTGCCCATGTACGAGAAAATAAAGCAAAGGAAGCATAGAGACACAATTAAAACCACAGGACCAACGTATGCTTCGTTACTCATCCCACAAATAAGGAAGGTTTTGTCTGGGTACCAAGAGGTTTCATTGTGGGGCTTTGCAGGTGCAAACATATTGCCAAAAAGAAGTAAGAGTGCCTGAGTAACAAATGCCAGCGTGATGAACAGCCACTGTCCATGATACTTTATCCACACACTGTGGAGCTTTGGGAACTTGGCAGCTATTTTGAAAATGAAAACAATTTGAAAAGATCGCACCACAAAACATGCTAGAGAAACGGTGTAAAACATGAGAAATGGTAAGAGCCTCATCACACAAGAGGAAGCAGTGGGCTTACCAAAGTAAAAGAACACACTGACATTAGACAGACACAGGCAGCCAAAAATGAGGAAGCACATCGGCCCCCCAGCAGATCTGACGACAGGTGTGTTGTAGTTGATGGCAAAGAGAACGGACATGGCTACTGTGAGGACCACCAAGGCCCAGGCTCCCACCATGATCAGTATGGCACCAATGTCTGTGAATGGGACAAACTCCAACTCCCGCAGATTACATGATGTGCTTCCTGCTGCAGACCATTCTGTTTCCTTACAGTTGATGCACTCGTAGGGATCTTCTGTTCAACACCAGAGAAGGACAGATTTACATTGAAGTTGAGTCAATTTGAAATAGTCTTCTGTGGCTAAAGGAAGCTCAATAACTAGAATATTAATTTTTAACCTGCTGTTTCATACCAACCTCTTGGATTGATTAAAATTAAGCAAAAAAAGTTGAATTTAAAATTGGGAATCACAGTCAGACATAAACAAGTTTAAAATTCTGAAAGTAATTTACCTGTTCTGTTGAAATAAGTGCCCTTTGGACAGATTTCACATTTGAAACAGCATCTGTGGATTCCATCTGGCATTTTTTTGGATCCTTCGTCACATTCTTGGGAACACCGTGAAGTAGGCACCTGTACAAGACAATTCTTTACAACCCGAGCGAGGACGAGTGCAATGTTACACAGTAATGGGTGCAGGCAAATTACAGTGTTTAGACCCATGAAGCATTTAAATTCTTAACAGGGTTTGTCACATGCGATCAACATTAAACACAACATCTGGATCCCCCTGCAAACGACTCCATGCACCAACCAATGTTGGTTAATGTTCAGCATTATTACTAAATAAATGTGCACATGGACACTCATCCACACACACACATCCCTGCAGAAGCTGGAAAATAAAACAATATAAAGCATTTTTGAGGAGAAAAACCACTTACTTCATTTGTCTTCCACTGAATTTTGCTGTTGTCGATGAAGAAATACAAGTTTGGGTAAAAGTTATGAAAGCCAATCTCCTGTGCGTCACCGCTTTGGTTCCAGAAAACTATAGAATAGGATCCGTAGTTGGGATCACCATTCTCATCAAATGTGACACTTTGATTTAAAAGTGTAAAGTTTGATATCTTCAGCTCTGCTAGAACCTGATGTGGACACACAAGTTTAGAGAACTTTATTTTATAATACTTTGGATTAGGTGATGATTCAAAAGAAATGAGTAAGATACATTTACATCAAACAGAGTAAGAGACTAATTGATCATATTATGTTTATACTCACCATGTATGGGTACGCTGTAATATTCCTGTCACATCTGCCTGAGTCACATTGCAAGGTATTGTGTAAGGCATGGGCGATGGCATGTACAGCA